AAAAAAAATCTAGAAAATTTATAAATAACTGGCTAAAACTCACAAATTCAAACCAAACTGCTCTTTAAATACATGTCTTAATTACCTATAGGATTTATTTTTATTTTTATTTTTTATGGTGACATTGGTTAACGAAATCCAGTACGTTTCAGTTGTACATTTTAACAGTAAGGCATATATATATTTACGTTGTGTGTTCACCTCCTTATAGGATTTTTTTAATGGCTTTTACTTTCTTGTCAGGGATGGGAGGGGGTCAGTGGAATAGTTCTTTCTGTTAAAGGTTCCTTTACTTTAAAAACTCACTACTTTAAAGCAAATTTGTGATTATACCGACTTTCATCAATATTTACCATATGCAATCAACCTATATTACTAAATAAAAGCAATCTGTTCTTGTCATTGACCTTTGTGCATGGTATTCTAAAATATTTGCCTTACATAATCCTGGAAAATTGCTTACCTGGTACTTGAACAGTTGTGTTGGGTTTTTCTTGAGTTTGTAGTCTATAAACCAACATGTATGCATTTCGAGAGCAGTGAGTTCCTTTGCCACACTTGGGTTTACGTGTCTGGGACTTAGAAGGTTCTGCTGAGGTAGGGAAAACAAAAGATGACTAAATTAGGATGCCGAGTTTGTTTACTCTTTTGCGGGGGTTGCAGGGAAGTGGGGTGCAGGGACAAGGGGGGCCACAGAAAACAATCCCTAAAATATACACTTAAGATACTCTAACATGGATCTAAAACATTAAAAGGAAACACAAATTTAGCAGGTTCTATAGATGTTTGAATCTTTAAACAAGTGTACTATCCTATCCCCCTTGGCTGCCAAATTCCATATTTAAAAGATAAGTAAATACTGTTTTTCATGAAGACAAATTTGGAACAAAAAAAAAGTACTACAACATTATTTGAATGTTAGTCTTAAATTATAAAAATAAATCGACTTAATTGCCCATAGAAATAAAATGACATCTTCAAAAAAATGAAATGAAATATTAATGAGCAGAAAGATTAGCTATGCATCTCTTTGAATTCAGTAGCAAGTAGAAACATTAAGTGTTCTACATGGTAAATATACCATATGACAGTGATCTTCAAATTGAGTCTGTGCATCCCAGGGTAACATTCCAAGGGGTATGAAGTCATGGACAGTTCTAAGGAAGTCAATTACCAGACCTTCAATTCACTGTGTACTTTTCTAAAAATTAATCTGCCTCAAAGTTGAGGTTTCATTGATGATTTCCACCTTTCCTTTCTCAGCCATCTATCCCCAACTTTACAAAAGAAAGATATAATTTCTCACCCGGTGATAAAAAGTCTCATCCATTAAAAGATGTATTAAAAACAAATTTTTTGTTTAACTTTTAAAATTTATTTATATTGGTTTGATTAAATATGTAGTGATATTTGTAATTTTAAAAACTTTTTAACAATTTAGAGCTTTAACTTAGTATATTCCATTAGAACAAAATTCTGTAGGGTCAGTGTAATAGAAATACAAGAGAAAAGAAAAGCATTAAAAATGTCCTGCTATGAAAAAAGACCAGTTCATTTATCTTTGACAGAATTGATGAGGGTACCAAATCTGTTACTTAATTTCATTTGAATATTCTTAAAAGTGATGTTGCAGTTTTACTATTTATAATATGTCAGAAATTACATTACTTAGAGTAACTGAAATTTATAAATGTTGGATTTTAAAACGTGCAAAAGGAATGCAAATTTGTTCAATAGTCTTATAAAGAATACATATCAAAAACGTTTGAAGACCACTGTCACAGGGATTTAAAATCTCAGGAGCATGTACAGCCAAGAGGAGGTCAGTCATTTGTAACTGAAAAGTATTAAGACCTAAGAGTTTCTTTACACTGTAAAGTAGAAGATAAAATGATTCATTAAAGTTCAAGACAGAATACAGTAATGAACAACTAATGTATTTAAATGAGAGACTTTTCTGTATTTTTGATAAGAAAACAAATGAAAGCTGCAATGTCAGTTGCACATAATAACAAAGGGTACTAAAACTTTGGAATGGGATCCCGATTGGCCTGTAGTCTCTTGAACTATTTTAAAATTTAGGACTTCCTATATGTAGGACAACTTTAACGATGCTCTTAATCTTACAATTCTGACTAAAAATTAGATCAAATAAACCTTAAAGAATGTCAAATAAAATCAAAATTCAATTATTCACAATTTAAAGCTACATGTCAATTTCATTCCTAGTAAAAATATCACAATGAGAAAAAATATAAGCAAATGCTAAGAACTTGAAGACTACTTAGGTAACACGGAAGCAATACTGCTGAATGTCTATAAACATCCAAATGTGATTTTAAAATAGAAAATACTATATAACAAGAATTTGTTATAACAAAGATGTGTAGAAAGAGTACCCATGTACCCTGACAGCCAACCCCCACTGCCATGCTCCTCCCTGTCTGACACCTTGGAAAAGTGGTTCTGATCCACTAAGAAGCACAGTGGCAGGAGACACACACCATTCACTCATTCCTTTTCTCTTATTTAGATCTCACAATCCGAACCTCACCCCAAAATGTTAAACAAGGGAAGAAAAGTGATGAAAACCTCAGCCAAGAGGGGTCTTACTAAAATTGTTCACTCCTTCAAGGGAATAAATGGGCATTTTGCCCTCGGAAAACTGAGGCGATGAGAGGTCCATACTAGGATACTATTTCAAGAAGTGCTTTGTATGGCAGATCTCATCACTACAGAACAGCAGCTTCCACCCCACAGAGGCGCTGCTCCAGGGATGGGATCAGACACTTAACAGGGAGTAGACACTCTTCTTGGAGCCAAGTTCCCTCGCTATATTTATTTCGCAAAAATAAATTTCTTGACCCAGAGAAAAAGACTACACATTCTACTGTACTAAATCCACTGTTCCTCATTTTTACCTCAATACTCACCATCCTCTCCCCTCCTCAACCAATTAACCTGGTAACTGCAAATTAAATATTTGCCTTCAAATGGTACTGAAAACATGAATTATGAAAACCATCTCTGGAGCAAAAACATTTTTTAAAAAATCAAATTTTGCTAATAAAAGATGTTCAGAAATTTCACGTGTTTAAGAAATGCAAATATCCTTGATAGGCCACAACAATCTCGGGCTGTAATAATTTATCGCAAATATTTCCGGTAAAAAAAAATTTATATTTTAAAAGGGCACTCACAACTTAAAGGTTTTACCTAGATCTTCCTCAATCCCTAGCTGTAATTTCTTCCCCTCCATCTTTTCTATGTCTTCGTCATTAAACTTGTACCATTCACCAGACTGTGGATCTTTCACGTGGGCGATGTAGTGGCCAGAGTAGGCGCTCACTCCTCTGTGTATGAGGACTGCACTGAGTTCATACACATAGGAACCACCTGGAGAAGGGGGACAGTGAAAGAAATTTCATAAAACCATGTGTCTTCTTGTATCCTGAACGTGAATTATAATGAATATGATTCTTTATGTAGCTGACAGAATTCAAAACATGTCACCTAAGACTGAAAAACAGTTTCATTTTACAAAATTATGTGGACGTCTTAAGCTGTATCACCTCTCCATTACCTCTATAAAGCTGGGGCGTTCTGGGATTCAGGGCTACAGAGCTACTCTGCTCTTCTTTGTCCTTTTGCATAAACTGGCTGAGCCATATACTGACCAAAAACCTGTTGGTATTTTCCAACTTACAAAAATTCATTATATAAACTAATGAGATTTGAGTGCAAAACTATTGTTTATAGAAAGAAGAAAACAAAAAAAAAATCTAGAATGATTCTGCCCTCAGATTTCTTCATCTTTTCAGTTCCTATCCCACTTTAAATAAACAAAACCTACAAATCACAGCCTATCTATACTATGCAAGTGGTTTATGCAAGAAGAGAAGGCTTTATCCATACATCGAAATGTCAGCAAATGAACGAACATTTACATTTTAAAACAAAGTATTTTAAAGTTTGGAAAAAATCTTTTAGGTTCTAAACTTAAACCAATTATGGAGAGGATATTATATACTGTGGGAAAAGATCACTTCTAATATACGTTTTATTATTAAAAATCAGAAAACAAATTTAAAAATTCATTAGTAATCCCAGAGACATAACCACTATTAAAACTGAAACTTTCAGTTTTTTCCTAACAAATACATCATTAACATTGTTCCACTGAATATTCTTCCAAAAATAATTTATAATGACTATGTACAAGCATAACAATATACTGGACCACTCCCATATTGCTAGACATGTAAACTGGTAGCATTTTAGGGCCAATATAAACAGTAATTATCTTTGTAGTAAAAATCTTTGCACACATCTTTGACAATTTCATCAAGTAATTTCCTAAAAACTGCAAGCAGTGAGTCAGAAGGTATAGCCAATCACTCATTCAACAAGTAATAAACATGCTAGATACTATTTCAAGCACAAAGGATATAGGAATGACCGAAAGGACAAAGTCCCTGCATTCTTGTAGCTCAGTGGGGGACACAGTACTGCAGATTAATACCTGGATCCAAACCCACCCCAGCTGGAAATAAATATTTGGTAAGATAAAAATATTTTAAAATATTTTTAAAAACACCAATTAACTCATCTACAACAGTTCTTAATAGTATTTCCTAAATTAATGACGACAAATCATAGAATTAGTAGTAACTATAACTATTACCAAGACACCACAAAAATTTTCCTATCACCACTGTTGCAGATAACCAGATTTTATACTCTTCTACTTAGGAATGATGGTAGATTTGATCAGCTACTGGAATCTGTTCTTTTTTGTGCACCTATATGATTATATCACAAATTGGTCTTAGTATTTTGTTATTAGGTTTCAGTTCTTTATATTTAACTATAACTGGTTTCTTCTGAAATTCTATATATTTTATTCAGTCACCAGACTCTTGAAGTGGTCTTACAAGGATATTAACATCCCTAATATGGCAGGAGTTGAGTTAGAGTCAGGTGCTAACTGTTTAGGAATGAGGATCCCTCAGTCTACAGATGTCTGTGTACTTGCAGGCTCACTATTTAAAGAAATGAGTCAATTGTCCTTTTACAAATAGATCATCTTTTAGATACATCTTTTCATCTTTGTGTGGATATGTGTGTGCAGACACATGCAAATAAGAATATAGAAAAATACAAATACTGGTTGTCTGGGTAATCAGCTACAGGAGGTTTTTAATTATCCTCCTTATGCTTTCTATATTTTCCAAATTATCTAGAATGAACCCTGAGCAATTATAGCAAAAGTTAATTTGTTTTTAGTATTCTACCCATAAAAGGTAGTACATTTGTATAGTAAACATTTCAACAGCCTATGAAAGACAGGCCTATAACTATAATCTACTGGATTAAATTTTACAAGTTCTAGTTAACAGTTCTAAAATAAGCCAATTTTTATTTCTTTAAAAATTAAGTTTACTACATTTAGTAAATCAACATACCAAAATTGAATATTTCTACATGTGCTTTTTAACCTATTAAGTTTATTTGTAAATATCTTCCTCATTCTCTTTATAGTATAAATTGGACAAAAATATAATAAATTTAATAACAATAGTAAGAACAACTATTCAAAATCAAATAGTGGAGTCAAGGAAAGTGCTGATTTTAGATCTAAATTTCCAGCCCTGGAGTAACCACTAATCTATCAGACTTCTCTAATTTCAAACGATCACCTGAACAAAGGAGACAGGAAGCAAACTACTATATAAAGAGAAATACAGCCTCGTTTATTTGTTCAGCCAAATTTAACAGTAACAAAGTCCAGTGGCAAAATCTGTAGCTGTTTCCTTCTACCAAGGAGGTGTAAATTTTCAACCACAGTACTAACAGAGCATCCATACATTTTATTTTTTATTTTATTTTACTTTTTTGCATCATACATTTTAAAGCTTAAATATTTAACATATTGCTACTCAAGTGCTCCAATAATTTCTCTTAAAGGTTTTGTTTTATGGCTTGTTTCTACCGTAAGCTGCCTCCAGAACCTTGTTACAGAAGGAAACAGTTTATTACATAATTTCTATATTAAAAATTTCATAAGCAGTAAGATCTATCTTGAAAGGAAAATCAAATAGTCCTTCCAGGAAGGGCAAGGTGTTTGTTTTCTCTGACAAGAATCATCCTGCTTGCTAAGTGAAGACTGCCAAAAGAAAAAGTAGTCAATTATTTCTTGTTTAAACTACCTCACAGCATCCTAGAACTTATCAGTGGTCACATATATCAAGAATTACAACACACATATTGAAATTATGCTGCCCAATGTTTTTGATAAATTGTTAAAAGAAAAAAATGTAAATGGAGGCAGCTTGGAGGATTACTCTGAAGAATTACAGATATACTATTCGCACTAAAATAACACGTGTGGGTTCAGGAACAGTGAAATCTTTTTCATTTTTTATTCTTTTATACGCTTAATTATGTAGATATTTATGAACCATCTAATCTTTGTTATATTCTTACTCATAGAAAATGGACGTAACATCTCAGCTCACCTAAAAAGCCATTGTTCCCAGAGATTAGCCAATAAAGTTTAGGAATACTCTTCTGTACTCATCACAAGCAGATCACAACTTATAGTCTCTGAGCATTTTAATTATCACTGCTCAGTAAAAATATTACCTTTATGTTCCACATAAGGCTCCATATCCAAATTTTCTGAAAAGCCAATGTAGGTATTCAGCTTTTTCTTATGTCCAGTTTGCCTAACCAAGAGGAAAACTAATTATATTTATATTTAAAACAATCATAAAACAATGTATAAGCTCTATCCAGCCATTTTAATAAACTCAATAGTAGCTAGGTAGATTTCATTTAGCAATCTTGTTCAAAAACCTATATAAGTAAACATAATACTATGTTAGAATTGGCAAAAATAATCAGCTAAAAGATATAAATTTAAAGTGCTAATTCCAAATATTTTTTGCCATTTTGATTTAATCACAAAAGAAACCATGGATGCTCCTGATTTTTTATAGAAGAAATGGACATGTGCAAACATTTATTTTAATTATAAAAGATAAATTCCCATGGGAGTAGGGAATATTGTAATAATTAGAAATTTTACTCTAGTTCTCATATAATGTCATGGCAATTCAGTTTCTACCCAATGTCATGGCAATTCAGTTTCTACCCAAATATTTGCTTTTCCTTTGCATGTTAGAATAATTAAAAAAATAAGGATTCTCTACTTTTCTAGTTCTCAATTTTATATGGCTGGCTTCTTTAGCAATTTTGTGATAAAATCACGAAATATTGGCATTTCAAAATGACAGGTTCCATCTATACCTTTCATCCTCAAACCTAGAGTTTCAAATTATAATCATTTTATTATCTTATCTGTCTACAGTGAAATCTGTACATATTAGTTCCCAATGAGTATTAAACACCACTACTCGTACATATTTACCTGTCAAAGACAAAACGCATCAGCTGTAAGTTCAGAGTGCAAGGAAGGCTAAGGAGTCGGATTTTCCTTGTAGCATTCTGTTTGCTTTGACAGTTTTCACAAAAGTATCGATTGTCTCCCTCTAATCTTTCTTCCTGATAAGGAATAAGACATATTAGTTAAAAAAATTAGAATGTAGATTTTTAAAATGTGATCTAATCTCTGATGTAAAGTATAATTTCATGTTAATTAATAGCTCCCAATCAAACTGTTTAAAAGTTGCTATAAATAATGAAGGACATCTAAGATAAAAGGCACTGCTTAACAGTAACATTATCAATTTGTATACAATGATTTAAAATTGATGTGCATCTTTCCAAAATATAAGATTTTTAAAGTACTCGTTTTAGGTCCTTTGTCCTGATAATCCCACTTCTGGGAATTAAGGAAGTGAGTTTTAAAAAGAATATCCTATGTACTTTGATGCAGCAAAATTTAAAAACAGATAAAATGGGTGCAAACTACACATGAGCACCAGAATACAGAATTATATATACACAAGATTTACACACACACACAGAGACAGTTAAAATTACTAAACCACATTCATGAGACAAAGCTAAAAGTGCAGGAAAATTTAATGTTGTACCTAATGGTAGTAGTTTCTTTTTAAATCCTTCCTCTTTGTTTCTGTAATAGCTTTTTCATATAGATTACTGCAATACGATACTGGCACCATCACTTTATTCACTTGGCTCAAAGATACCACATTCATCTGTTTTCCTCTTAAACTCACTGACCAGTTCTCCTCCTCAGCATTCCTTGCCAGCTGCTCCCATCTCCCTGATCTCTTAACGTTTGAATGCCCCAGGGCTCAGTCTTTGGTCTTTGTCTCTCTCACTCCCTTGGTGACTTATCCAGCCCTGACTTCTCCCCTAACTCTAGGTTCTCAAATGTAACATGCCCCAATTCAACCTCCTAATTTCTCTCCCGAACCTGCTCCTCCCACAGTCCTTCACATCTCGGTTATAGCAATTCCATTCTTCCAGTTGCTCAGGTCAAAACCTTAGTAATCCTTGACTCCTCTCTTTCTCTCCATATCCAATCTGTGAATTTTATCAGCTCTACTTTGAAAATATATTTAAAATCCAAACACTACTTATCACCACTTCAGCTAACCCTTGGTCCAAGTCATCAACTCCTCCTGTCTGCCCTTGCCCCACCATCAGCCTATTCTCAAGATAGCACCCAGTTATCCAGTTAAAACAGGTTACATCACTCCTATGCTCACAACCCTCCAACGGCATCTCATCTCATCTCAAAGTAAGTGAAACTTCTGACAAAGGTCTACCAAGCCCTATCTGAAATGGTCCTCAGTTACCTCTATAACTTCATCTTCTGTCCTTCTCCTCTTGCTTATTCACTTCAGCCACACTGAACTCCATCTACCCAAAACATTCTTCTCCCCAATCCTTGCATGGCACTCCGTCATCTTCTACCATTTCCTAATTGCAACCGGCCTCATCCTCATCCCCATCACATGCTCTATCCCCCCTTCCCTGCTTTATTATACTTGACACACTATATATTTTACTTATATTTACTGTCCCTTCCTGGTCCCAACGCCACTATACTATAAGCTGCTTAAAGGCAAAAATGTTTTGTCTTTGTTTGTTATGGTTATCCCCAACAGCTGAAACAGTGCCTGAACAGTAGTAACCACTCGATCGATATTTAGCTGAATGAATTCAATAAATGAGTACGTCAAGTATACTAAATAGTTGTGCTAAAGAAGTAGTACAAAAATATTTTAAGAAAGTTTTATAATAAGCTCATCTATTATGCTATGTGTCTGTTCTTCCTTGATAACAAAGGTTTCCTCTTAGCAGCTTTTCCACTCAGAACAAAAGGGGACCACTTCCAGATCTCTACATAAGCTTACAGAAAGTAGAAATACTGAGTGGCAGGGTTGAAGAATGACCATAGTGACGTAAAAAATACTTACATTCAACACATTCTAGTTCTCATTAAATGAAAAGGTAAATTAATCTATGGCAACAGAGCTTAGATTTCCTTAATACTCTACTATTGCCAATCATTACACAATAAGATTTTACACATACATAACATTACATATAAAATGACTTGAACAGCCAAAGAGTGTTTCAAGAAGCAGCCTGCTTCGACACTTTATAATTTACAAAGTTTCTTCTAGACCATTACATAAACAGACACTTCATATGTAGAAAAAGTTGAAATAATGAATTTATCCATTAAATCAAAAAACCATTCAGAATAGTATTTAACTGTTAATGAGCAGAAATAACATATACACCAAAATTTGAATACCTTCAAAAATTCCGAGATACAATCTGTTAACTGTTTGTGGCCTTGGATATTTAACTCCAGTTCATAAAACTTTGATAAAAGCTTAGACTCTCTGCCACACTGATTGCAACTATAATAAAATAGAGTGATAAAATTAACATCAGAGTGGGAAAAACAATAAAGTTCTACTGTATTACACCCTAGAAATATGGAAAGCATTTATTATCTAAGTTCTCCTTCACGGAAATTATTTATGCTATGTAGATTTAAAAAATAAAAACAGAAGGTGATTGGTGAGGCCATGTAGTTTATGATTAGGAAAGTTTTTAAGAGTTATTTTACATTTACTCTTAGTATTCTAGCTGGCTCCGATCTGACTCTCTTAGCTGACACCACAGCCGTAAAACAAATGGCAAGAGCTCAACCACATACAGTTCCCAACACCTGGACGGGTTCAACTGCAATTATCAAGTCAGTTGTTTATGCATTCCCATGGCAATGTATTGCTATAAATATTTCAGGTCCCATGATAACCCGCTAAAGCTATAACTTGGAACTGAACTGAAAATTAGATAACACAAGCAACGGTCTTAGAATAAAATGTACCATGAAAAAGCTGAAACACACTTACACAGTTACGTAAGCATATTCCCCACAGAACTGCTGTTGGACAATGTTCCGCACATCTGGATTCTTTTGTTTAGACAAAGTATCTTCCAAAAGAGACATAAAGAGCTTTGAAAATTCTTGGGCATCCTACAACACAAGTGTGGGTTAATAAAAAGAAAAATCGTATCTTGCTTTTCAACTTCTGATATAAATAGTATAAGTATTCCAGAAACTATCTGTACTTTGAACCCGAGTATTTTCCACTAGTTTGTGCTTACATATGAATTTTCAGAAATGAGATCAAGGAAAATGTGCAATATACTGAACAGTAAATAAATATGTTAATTCAAAATAGAAAAAAAATAATTTTTAAAAAGCATTTCACTTCATTTCCTTCTATAAACAGTCTAAGAAATGCTTGGATAACTTTTTATGTTTAAAAAAAATCAAAGGTTCTTACCTGCTGCTGCCCTGTGTCCAAGCCCAGGGCTTTAACGAATCCCGATGGATCAATGTATCGTCTATTACTGTTTTGCAACAAAGCAAACAAGTACTGGAGATGCTCACAAATTGTTTGAGGCTCATAATCTATTTAAAAAAAGTTTGTTTTTCAAAAACTGCTACTTTTTAAAAGACTTCCTTTTCACATGAGAACATAAACACCCTTACATCTCAACTATAGGGTGTTTCATTAGTTTTAAAACTTTAAGAGAAACAAATTAGTAATCACATCTTTTGGAAATAAAGAGGCAGCCATGGCTGTCTATATGCATCCCCTAAGGCGAAAGGCTATACACCACAGGACAACAATCACAATCATGACTAGCTTCTAGAGTGTCAAATCACAATGAAACATCCATTCCAGTAATAAAGACTATATTTACCATTCGCATAAGATGGCCAAATACTTTAATATAATCTCATGAATGTAGACTTGCCATATATAGAGCAAGCGACAGGAATCTCAAGTAGATATTCAGACCTGAATGAAGATTTACTGTTAAAAATTCTAGAATTTTCAGGTTGCAAATTTAATTAGTTGGGGGAAGATATGCAAATAGAAAGCATAAGTCTCAAGGGCCCTAAAAGGCTTGAGTATTATCTTCCATGCCAGTTATCAATTTATGGCCTCTCAGGTCCAAATCCACCCTTCCTTGACTGCTCTGTGATAACAGAGATGAGCTCTGCAAGTATTTCTCCTTTGCCAGCTGGCTCGAAGTTAAGTCTTGTTAGTAGAGGGCACTGGATGGTTGGACTGTGCCTCTTTCACGAGGCTCCAGTAGGGTCCAGCTTTCTAAGGACTCCAGGTTGAAATAGACAGCAGCTTCCCTCGGCACTTCTCTGGTAGCTTCAGTGGAATGCCTCCGGTGAGGCTCCTCCTCTTGAATGACCACCCTGTGAATGACCTCCTGGGCAACCTCTCAGGTCACTTCACAGGGGGTTCTGAGGCCTAGCATCTCCCAGTAGACAGCTTCCAGCATAGTCCCCCACTGGGGCACCTTTTTGGTCATCCAGTGAGCCCTGTCAGTGGTCTCTCCAAAGAGGCCTGGGTCTCAGGTCTGAGCAGCAGAGATCAGGGACTCCTCCGTGGGTGTTCTCTTTCTGCTCAGGGGTAGTGGCTGCTCCCTATGTCTGCTACTTCTGTATTTTTTCAAGTCTTCTTTAATTCTTACTACCCAATTCCATCATTATTCTAACTTCCTATTAATAATTCTCTATGCTTTCTCTGTTCAATTTATTGTATAGTTTCTGTCTCCTGATCGCACTGGTAGTTCATCTCTTTATTAACAATTGTGACTTTCAAGAAATTAATATTTCATTTGTAAAATAAAGATAAAAATCTTACTTCCTAGGGTGCAAAGGCATTGCAGGCTGTTAAAAGCTATTCAAGTTAAATTTGTATCTACTCCAACCCTCTTATTTTACAGGTTATATACTCCATAAGATCTTAAGTAACTCATACTCTGCTGCTGCTGATTTTCCTATCTGTAAAATAAGGGAGTGGTTGAGCTGAGACTAGAACTCACATCCCATCATTTCCAACATAAACCCTTTCCACTCTACTGCACTGTGCCTGTAAAGATAACAGCAGAAATGTACATACACTCTTATCAGAGAACAAGGTGACGAAATTTGGTGAAATATTAAAATTTATGTTTAGAAAATTTTGAAAAATTTCTTGAAGACATACATTAAAGCCACAATATCCAAAGAAGGCCACGGTACATCACTCTATGAAACAGAATTTTAGTTTTCATTTATTATTTAACTGTCTTCTCATTGGTAAACTTATACTTCAGCAAAACAATGCTAAAAATTAAAAACGATATATTTTATATGACTCACCTTTTACATACACTATTACTTTCAATACTTAACACACTATCTGTCTAGATTTAAATAATCAGAACTATAATTTTTAGGGAAACAAACTTAAGAGTTTTGAAGCCCTGTGTTTTGAAGCAAAGATTACCATTAACAAGGACTAAGACTCTAAAGTATTACCATGGTCTAGAGGGCTGCGAGAAAATGCAGGGCTTACAAATCCTACCTTTTCTTCTTCTGAGCAATCGGATCATAGAAAAGGCAGCACAGGATTTATAGATGAAAACAAGAGTTGCAAGTTCCCAACGTGGCACTCCCAAACATATGTAACCTTACACACTCACTCCTTCCACCGTCACCCCCAACTTTGAGAAGGAGAAAAAATTGGTTCATTCCATGAAAGTTCCATCTCAAAGAAAATAATCTCTGATACAGGTTAATATCAATTAGGATTAACGGTACACATACTGTGCATGAAAAAAAACTAAGTAATTCTGGTAGAAACAGTTTGAAACTGATTCTGTCTAAATCTGCAACGAGCACAGTCGCACATTAAGGGCTGATTTTGCCAAGGTTGGTGAATTTAATCTTAATTTTAGAAGTTATCATCTAAGTGAGCTTATTTGAGAACAAAGACAAAAGATTAGAGTTACATTGAAGTATTTATTAAGTCTCTCAATGTAGGCAAAAGAGTAACCTTGTCTGCTTTATTGACTGATTTTTATCAATCACTAGAAATAGACTTAAATCACAGCATATTACATAAAGAAACTACAGCTGTAAGGTACATAAGAATAACCAAACATATTTCCCTCACTACAATATTGGCCACTTTGTATATAAATGATAAATATGTAGAAAAAGAGGAAAACAATTTTGAATCCTAAAAATGTTTATAAAGGACCTAGCACTGTGCCTGGCACATAAGGAGCACTCAGAAGTAACTTCCTCTCTTTGGTTGGTTCAGAAGTGACCTTGCTGTAAATATATGCAGAAGTGAACCCTTCCCACACCATCCCCACTGACCTTTCTCTTCTTGGATGCCATCTTCAATCATGTAGTCGCTACAAGTACTTGGACACAAGTATAGAGCCTGCCGAAGCTCCAAGTTGAGAAACCACACTTGAAGAAATGTGTTGACATAACAAGTAGCTCCAAGGTTAGTGAGGCCCACAAATGAGTTCTGCGAAAGTAGAAAATTTACAATTATAAAATCAATTTCCCTTTAAATAAATTAAAACAACAACAACAACATTATTTTTTAAATTTCAGACTAAAATTTTTGTTACAACTGTCTCAACCAACACAGTACAACCACCTTAAGCCTCTCTAGGCCAGGGGTAGGGAAGCATTTTCATGAAAGCCCCATTTGGGTTGACTACAGGATTGGAAAAGATTAGGACAATGCCAAAGCTCATCTCTAGTCTTCTGGTCACCTTCCAGTCTTCTGCAGCCACTTAATCTAAAATGACAACAGTAGGCTCTAGGAAAGATCAGCTTTGAACATGGGCACCTAAGGTTTGTTCATTTGCTATATTCTTAAACTAACAGCATTCAGAATGAAAAAACTTCAACCCTATTGATCTGGGAGATGGAGTACAAGGAGAGTTGGTTGCAACTTCTACCAAAGATAAGACTGACAACTTCTGAACTTACAAAGAATCGTTATTTTTAACACAGAAAATACCTAATACAGTTGATGATTTTGTAAATGCCAGGCTTTATGATTAGAAAATATTAATGTGTACTAAAAAAAGTAAAATTATCTGTTATAGATATAATATATATAAATACAGACTCAAGAAAGCAAAGCAATATTATGGGGGCTTGTTCCCTTGATTTGCTACCTCCTTTAAAAGACTTTAAAAAGTTCAAAATAAAACACGTAACATTAAAGCAAACATAGAATTAGCATTTAAACCAAAACTATTATTTAAAGGCTCACTGGATCACACAGTTACCTATTTTAAAGCAGACCATAAAGATCTGTTCCAATTAAAGAAGTTTAGAATCTTAAATTCCATTATTTATCTTAAAGCTACACAGGTTATCTGAAATTAGTAATGGTTTCTGATTTAGGCACAAAATGAAATGAAAACAAAACAAATATAGGAAAACCATATAAAATCATTTTAGTCTAACCAATGTACTGTATACTTGAAACTAATTAAAAGAAATAAATAAATTTTTTTAAAAGTCACTTTAAAAATGACGGCTTACCTTTTTTCTCCTCTCACAATTGGGATCATCAATGTTATGAAAACTATTTTCATCTATTTCTCCTAACCAAATATGCTCACCAATCCCAACCAAGCAATTTGGATTTCCTTTGCAGTTTCGTCTGTGAATAAAATATATTTTACTTTAAAAATACCATATTCCATAAGAAACATGCAAATTTAAACTATAATGAAACAACATTTTTTAACTATTTCTCATCTATAAGATTAGCAAAACTGAAAAAGTATATCTCCACATTCAGTTTGTGAGGTGGTGGAAAACCAGAACTCATTTACTGCTGAAAAGAATGAAAACTGATAGGACTCATGGAGAAGAATTTTGCAGTCTCTAACAAATCTATACATACAGCTAGCTATTTCATTTCTAAGAATTCACCCTAAAGCTACATCTCATCAGTGCAAAAACACATGCTCTAGGTTATTCATTACAGCATTGTTTGTAATTGCAAAATACTGGAAACAATCCAAATAACCAAACACAGGGGATATGGTATGCACACATAATGGAGTACTACGCAACAGTAAAACAAAAAACACAAGATCTCTGAACGGATGTGGAGTAATTTCCAGGATATATTAGTAAGCAAAGTGCTAAAGACTTACCTATAGTATGCTATTTTTGTGTGTGAAAAGATAGGTAAATAAATAAAATATCCATGTGTCTGCTAATTCGAGCAGTGAGAAACACAAAAAGGATAAAACTAATGAAATTGGTTACCTACTGGAATAAGAGTAAAAACAGAAGTGACGCTTTTCTGAACATACTTTAACATACACTCCTGAAGTCTGGGCTCATGTGAATGTCACACACACGCACATAGGATGGGGGAGCCCTAAACTGAACACAAATAGAAACATATTTCAACTGAATAACATATCCACATTGAAAGAGGGGATGGGGGAACTAACCCAAGCAACTTGAACCCAGTCATTAGAAAGCTCATTTAGTAGTGTCCTTAGGCTAAAGACAAAAGGAACAAATGCCAAGCTCTAACAGCTTCCTTTTCAGAGACACTGGTAAAGGATTCTGAACTTTCTGTACATTCTGCAACTGAACAAACAAGAAAATATACAGGGGACAAAGGGAATCAAGATTTGGAGAGGGCAGTGACAAAGAAGAAGGGGATGAAGGACAAAATGAACCCTGCAATACTGATTAGGAATGAGAAATAGAAGCCAAAACTCACAGGTCTTAATATATGGAGATAGGTAGATTAGGGGTGCCAGTTAAATACAGAGCAGTAGTTATCGGAATTTCAGATGTAAGACATTTTTACACTAAAAATGTATTGCTGTCTATCTGAAGTTACGTTTGATTGGGCAGCCTAAGCAGGATGGCTTTTTGTCAACTGAAGGCCTAAAAGCAATAACATGAGCGCACCTAGCAAACAGATTTTGATTTCTAAACATTCCCCACTCGAAGAACCCAGTACTCCTTGGAGAAATGGCTGTGGCCAAGGATTGGCAGGGAAAGTACAAAATAAACATAGAACAAGTTTCTGTGCCCAAGAAGTAAGGATGTACTCAAAGAATGATGGGGACATGTTAAAAGGACAGCTGAAAGGGAGCGCTCAGTGGCCAACTCTGGAACAATGTGAGCAGCAAAATAAATAACAAGAGGATTATAACTTACTGAATAAAGTAGGACTCTAGTGAGATGAATGGATGGGTGGTGGGGTGGGTGGATGAGTAGATGGGCAATCTCTTCCTTACTGAAGAAAGTCAACTATCTAAGTAAAAGATGGAATTAGGAAATCACCATTTGTCATCTATCAGAATAAAAGAATCAGGAAAGAATCATCAATGGTAGCTAGTGTAGGCAAGTTTGAGAACAGAATATTTACGTAGTCTCGAAGCATCTCAGCACACGTTGTTTATTAATTACAAAAGGAAAAATATTAACTTTGAGTGGAGAAACCTGGCAGATACCACCTTAACCAAGTGATCAAAGTTAAGGTAGCCAGTAATGGGTCTAATTGATAGCATGCACCTCCTGGTGTGATGCTCTAAAGGGAAACATCAGCTAAACCCAAGTTGAGAACTTTCTACAAAATAAGTGTCTTGTACTTTTCCAGTGTCAATTTCACAAAAATACAAAGAAAGACTGAGTAATTATTCCAGATTAAAGGAGACCAAAAAGACACAACAATCGAATGCAACGTATGAGCTTGAATTTTCTTTAATTATAAAGGACATTATCAGGTCACTATGTTCTGAATATTTCAGATTACCCACTAAAGCTTTATTGATAGCAGTTAAAAGACTGGAAACACGAAAAATGACCAATAATAGGAAACTGATAAAAATAAATAATATAACAAAAACAATGGAAACTATTGTAGTGGGGAGGATAAATTTTTAATATGGATATGTAACAATATGATTAGTTGAAAAAAGCAAGGTACAGTGTTTAAAAATAGGTGTGATAAGCCTGTTTGTTTAGATAAAGGACACAATATAAACTGGAAACCATCTCTAAAGATGTTCACCTCTGTACTTGCTAGCTGCAAATTAAAAGGCTTTCTATGCCCTCCATTACCTTTTATACCTTTCAGACTTAGAACTATGGCATGTACTATATATTCCAAAAATAAGTACTTATTTTCAATGTTCTGCTTAAAACATTCTTAAATATACTGTCTTCCTGGCTGTAAAAAAATAAAAATGAAAAAAGTTTGGCCAATTTAAGAGCAGTTTTGTCAGGTTAATGTCAAAGCCAAGTTGGAAAATAACTTACTAAAAAAGTAAAAGCAGGGCTGATTCTGTGGAGGAGGATCTAAAAAGAGTTATTTTTTGTGCCTATAACTCATCTCTAATAGGCAAGGATTACTACAAGGGAGATACAATGCTGACAGTAAAAAAAAAAAACAAAAAAAAATCACTCCTTTTACACAAAAGTAATTTTTCTCTTCTATCAAGAGAAGATATAAACAAACAACAAACCAAAAAAAAAAAAAAAAAAAATCTGATGCAACAACTGGGGAAAGTAACCCAAAAACTTTCCTTGGAATAGGGGCAAGAATTTACTAAGATTCTTTAAAAAAAAAAAAAAAAAAAAAAAGACAGCTAGCAGGATTGGACTACAAGGGCCTTTAAGATAGAAAGAGATAACTAGAATGAAAGTGTACCTCTAAAACAAAATAAGTAGGTGCCTATTCTTTCAAAACTGCTTATCAAGGTATAATATCACGTCTCATGTGTGCTTTCTCCTCTTGGACAGAGAAGGTGGTAAGACTTTTTCACACGATTTAGCTGGGAGACAGGCCCTCTTCTAAGCATCAAACGCACACATCATTCTCTCAGAAACGGGTTCCAGGGGAACTGTTAAGATTTTAGTCTCCTGTTCCTGACAACAAAATAATAGAGAAAATCAATTAAAAAAGTAGGCTCTCCTTGTCCTCACTCCTCCCCTCCATACAAAAAAATCATGTGTCCTTAGTCCAAAACTGCTTCAAAAAAAGCAAATACAAATACAGTTAACTCCTGAACAACAGGGTTTGAACTGCCTGGGTCCACTTATATGGTGATTTTTTTTCAATACAGTACAGTACTGTGAATGTATTTTCCTTATGATTTTCTTAACATTTTCTTTTCTCTAGCTTACTTTATTGTAAGAATATAGCACATAACATACCAAATATGTGTTAATCAACTCTTTATGTTATCAGTAAGGCTTCTGGTCAAGAGGAGGCTACTAAGTTTTTGGGGAATCAAAAGTTATACAGCGGATTTATGACTGTGTGGGGTATCAGCACCCTAACCTATCCACTGGGGCGGAGGAAGCAGTGAGATAAATTTAAAGGAGAAAAATTATGATAAAAGAGATGAGAAATGAAGATCTGAAACGTAAGATGACTGCAGAGTTGAAGAGATGGTGCAGAGTGGAAATTAATGGTACCTGTTAGTCATCATTTTTGTGGGGAGTAAGGTAAAGAGAGAAAAAAATCAGGTTTTTATGTATATGGCTTAATTTTAAAATCTTTAAAGAAGAATCACTGGTAATACCTTTGAGAATATTCACATCTATAAATTCATAAAATGTTCATTCACCTAACAACCTGATTTCATTTGAAATTCTGAATTCTGATCAAAAGAATCAGAGAAAGTAAGCATGCAGCATAAAGGAAGACATAGCACTAGGTTCCTGGCTAAGCATCTTTCATAATGTGCAGTTACCATCCCCAGGCAGATTTGCTGGCCCTATAGCTGCTCTTTTAAGAAAGAGTTCCAAGATTGGGAGATCTTTCACCAAAAAGGTTTATCCTTTTCATCCTTCTACAATTCAAGCTGCTATGAAACATCTGGCACTATTTACAAGAAGCACTTCATCCAGTGTTCAATTTCTCAGGGTAGGTTGGGGGAAAAAAAACAAACAAACAAGCAAATTAACTATTAAACTAGTGTCAATAAGTCCTCTAGCAGAAAATACAGCTCAGTGTCCAAGCACTGTTTCAAGGATCACCGTAGGGCACCCTATCAGACCTTTAAAGAAGGCCCCTGGCCCATCCTCCTTCTACCATCATGATTTCAAATTGAAAAGAAAAAAAGAAATTTAAGTTACTCACCCCTGCTTGTCAAAACAAAGAAAAGCACTTCATGACACTTCTCAAACTCTGGTAAGGTATTCTCTGCCATGAGATAAACATGATTCATGTTCATAGATCATAAGTTTTAAACAACTATTAGAAGAAAATTTATTGAATCAAGCAGATTTATTATGGACTAGAATACAAATATTTAAAATAAACCCCAAAAAGAATAATCAGGAGGGATTAAACCCTACCAGATACTGAATCATAAGGTAAAGTCCCCCAAATTAAAAATGTAATAGAATAAAAAGTTCAGAAACAGGCCTAAAAACATATGGCAATTTTGCAAGCAATAAAGGCATCCAAATCAGTGAATAAATATAGGTTTTTTAATAAATGGTGGTTGGGACAACCAAGCAGCTATCTGGAAAAAGATAAAGTTGGACTCACTTCACAGTATACTTCAGCACAAATTCCAAATGGGTCAAAGATGTAAACATTAATTGAAACCATAACAATAACACATGAAAACACTAGTAAATTCCTTTGTAATATTGGTATGACAAAGGCTT